GATTTCTTTGTATGTATGGATCACTTGGGTTGTTACCAACATCTGGTGAAAATTTCATGTCATTAGCACCTCTAGTATTTACTGAGAAAAATGGTGACGTGTTSAATACTTATTTTACCTGCTGTATGTCTTGATCTAACACTAAACAGTGTTAAATCAAGACTAATAGTGGTACAGTGCCACTGCCATTTTGTCGTGCGTTTGAAATTGGCACATTTGTTCCATTATTTAAAAAAAAAGGCAGATTTTATTTAAGTTTTACCAAATTTATGGTATACTGGAAGGGTCCTATCTTTCAGTCTCAGAAATCATTGCTTCAAAACTGGTGACTTACAGATTTTACTCCTTTTATTCAACATATAAAACAAAATGAACACAAATCCATCAGTTTTTGCTTTTCAATCAGAGGCATTTAAAAAGTAAAATATTCMCAATTAATTTTTGTATATATATTTTTTTCCTACAACACACCATAAGGATGAAAGCTCAAGTGTTTTCACGAAAAGGATTAGAAAATAAAACAGGGTCAGAGAGCATTCAGAAACTGCGCGCGCTTCTTCCATTAAAAACAAAGAGCTGGGTGAAATCCAAAACAGGCTCATGAGAGTTTTTAAACTGAAGACCAGTTCTCCCAATCCACCTGCGCAGACACATCAAACCCAGTCCGAACTGGTCCCATCAGCCTGAGCGTCCGTGGAGSAGGAAAGCTGCTAAAGCCAGCGGGAGCACCAGCAGGGTGCAGCAGGAGGARCCGCTGCCGGAGGAGGCGGCAGTGGTGGCAGTCCTAATGGTTGTTGGGTTGTTGGTGGGTTTTACTGTGGGATCTGCTGCTGCAGCCATCTGCAATAATATTTAAAAACTTTATTTAAAAAAAAAGAAAAGTTTCTCGCAAATGGCATAATTTGGCGCTGAGTTAATTGGCGCAAAGTTTGAAAAAGTGAGCATAAACTCAGTAAAGCCATGAGCACAAATGAGTCAAACTKGAGTCAAGATAAAAATTAAATAAATAAGTCGACTGAGATGAGAGTTCTGAAATGTGAAAGAAAWTTAAAAAAAAAAAAAKGAATCAGTTTTAAATCGTCAGAAATTAAATCTAACTTTGCCCCCGAGTATCCTCCAGTAGAGCCAGATTAGATTTAAGCTGAAAGAGTTTGGAGAAGCAAACGAACCTGTGAGGAGAGACAGAACAGCAGCACAGCTGCGAGGACAGCGACACAGAGACTCTTCATCTTTCTGCTCCGGGAGGAAAAAAAGCTGCACTTTATTCCGACAGCTCAGGCAAATAACACCGAAGATGCTGCTGCTGAGGTTTTATACGCGCAGTTACGTCACCAAGCTCTACAGCGCACCTGCTGCAGCGTGTGACGCGTTCAGGGGGCGTCCGGAAAAAATTAAGTTAAATTAAACTAAATTAAATCAAAACACGTTTTCTGTTCCATTCAGAACAAAGTACCATTTACTTTCTTACAGCACTTAATTTGTATTTTTCCCCGAGTACTTTAAACTGTTCCTTTTAAGTTTTTTTGTAAAGTATGTTACATTCAAAACACTCTAAGTTGAAATATGACCAACTCAAAAGTAATTCTCCGCACTATTAAAGTGTTGACAATCGGTTTATCTAAAATATATGTAAAGCAATTTACACAATTTCTTTTGACAACTTTTAGCATGAATCTCCCTTTTCTGCAGATTCTCAGTTCATCTCATTTTATGCCTACTAGTTTAGTCTGTAAAAAATTCAGAACATGTTGCCAATTCCAGAAAAAAAAACCTAAAATACCGACATGAATCTTTCAAGTCAAACATTTTTACATTTAACTTAGCACACAATTTCACCCATTTTGACAAAAATAAAAAAACCTTGTGAACTAAATTTTGAGCCATTGTAATGTTTACATTTAGACAGGTGTCAAGTAATTAAGTACAACTATTTTAAGTAGAAATTTGTTTGAGTAATTTTATTCAGCCTACTTTAACATCTACTTCTTACATTTTAATGCAAAAAGTATTTTTCTATTTGACTATTCCATTGTTAAGAAAAATGGAAATCTTTCCAAATACATGGATAGTGAGAGTTTGATTGTAGTCATGTAAATATACACCTGACACCCAACACACCTGAATGACAAAAATCACATTCCAGCTGTAGCCTAGAATGAAGGGGATCATGGCTGAAAAAAAAAAAAATCTAGTCAGTTAATTGCAAATTTAAAAAAAAAAAAAAAGGGGGTAGAATATAGAACCCTGTGGCACAGCCGCTTTTACCTTATGGCTTTTAGTCTTCACTTTTATTACTTTATTAAAAASCTTGAGTTGATACTTCTTCCAAACACTAGGATCTATACTTCTGAAGTAATGAATACRTCAAAACTTCTGCATTTAGAGACTCCTTTTCACGTGTGACTACCTCAACTAAAACACTTATTTCAGGCAGTCCAACAAATRGGCTTCTGGTGAGCATAATTTTAAAAGCAGAAATACCTCAGTCATTTGTGATCTGCGACAGAGTTGAGTTTTCCCTGGTGAAAATTTTTAACAAGAAATCCTATAATCAGCCTATAAAAAGGGGAGAACAATTGCAGCTCAGCTGCAAATGACTGAAAATGCAGTAATGTAGACTGGTGGCCCACACGGTTACCTTTAAAAGTCATGAGTCATTTCAAATATTTTATATAGCTTTAATTTACCTAGACAGGCATAAAAAGTCAATTACAAAGTTTATCATCAAGGCCTTCAAAAATTTAACATTTTAAAATATTAATAAGCACAAGATTTTCAAACCCCAAATTCTCCCATCTCAACACAAAAACACCAGTGGTCATCCTCCGCCCACATTAGAACAAACATTTAGTCCATGATGACAGACGATCAGAGAGTCCTGCTTCAGTGCTCAAACACAAGACTGCACTTTTCCCCCTCGTGAGCTCTAGTGGAAACATCTCCCTGCTCCAAAGGCAAAACGTGGGTTGACTATTGAAGATGTCCTTTAGAGGGAAACATCTTTTGAGAAGGCCAGGTTTACTGTCCCACTCCATTTGYGTGGGGGAGAATCTGGTCAGTTACTGGGACCAGCCTTGAAGGGAAGCAGCAGTCAGAGTGAGAGGGAACAGCAGAGTGAAGGTGTCGATTCCTGCAGAGCAGCTGCTGGAGTTGGACGAGTTGTTGGCTGCGATAGTGGTACCTTTTGGGGTAGTGGTCGACACATTCGTGGTTGAAGTTGTGGGTCTCACACCACTCTGTGTCATGACAATCTGCAAATAAGTGAATACATTTTTTAAGRTTTGCCACAAACATTGATGGCACAAAATGAAACTTCAGTGGGGCAAACTGAGAAAATACAAAATAAATAAATTTCAGTAAGTGTGTTAAGGATTCTACTTCAAGTGGAGATGGAGTTTTAAATGTTTAACGCAACACTGGAGGGTGAAGAAGCTGACATTAAAGCCAAGTAACCAGGATGGCCTTAAACACCAATTAGCCTATCCTATAAAMCTTTAAAAGAACTTAAAAAGGAGCAAACATACCTGTGGTGAGAAACAGAAAGCCAGCAGGAGAGCAGTGAAGAAAACAACACACATCTTATCCATCATTCTGCTCGACAACGACACAAACCCAGAAGGACTCCACTGAATTCTTCCAGCTGGTTCTGAAGTGATTGATGGAGGAGCTGCTGCCAAGTTTTTATACCCCCACAGTGACCTCATCAACCATCAGCACACCTGGTGTGTGAGTGTGCTGCATTCATGAACATAATGTAAATGTTCAGCTCTGTTTTAGGCAAGTAACTCAAATTTATAAGCTACTATTACACAATACAATCAAAATATTCTTAAACGACATTTTTTAACTTGGAGATGGTAACTTTACCACACATGCAGTGATACGGATCATGCAGATCGCACAAGTAAACCATCTTACAAGAACAAATATAATGAATTGTACAAACAAATATAGGCAATTGTTGCCTGAATATAATTTTTCAAACAAGTAGTCCGATTTTAGCTTAATGACCTTGTTGAAGGCAATATACTGCGTTATTTCAAGCAAATGGGTTATATTTAGCTTTTTTTTTTGTAGTTGTAAGTTGTTTGTGTCAGTGAACACAAAACTGGTTCAACATTTCACTTTAGAAGCCTTTTTTTTTATACCTGAGTAATTCTAGGGCAAGGTTAACAATGCACACCTAAAGTTTTTTTGCAAACCGCCAATAAAATCTAAGAAGAATAAGAAGAAGAAGGGCAAGGTTAACAGTAAAGATACTCATCTGAAAATTATAAATAAAAAGGGGAATACAGACAATGATTATTTCATTGTTTATAAGTCTAGCTAATTGAAAGCAAATTATGAAAGGATAAAGAAGATGGTGAAGACATGTGCAAATACGCTACATTTTCCAGAACTTTCAAACTCACAAATTTAGGCACAACAAAACAAAATAAAACAAAACAAAACACAACATTCAGAAAAACCTTACTTAATAACAAATTTCTTAAGTGACTTAAATTTAAAGATTGTGTAAGAAACCTAAACTTAAGTAACCTAAATGTTTATTTCTAAGTTCTAYACAGTACCTTTCTACAAATTAAATCTACACAAATATCGCCCTCTATCGACTGTTTGTGAGTAAAACTGTATTTGCGATGACCCTCCTGGKTTTCCGTCGTTGTCCTTCTTTCAATTTCTTCCGGACAAAACACAACGCGCACTTACACGGTTGAAATGAAAACACAGATAAACGACTAGCAAAGCGGAAGCAAGTGCAGTACACTACTTTCATTTTATTTATTTATTTATTTTTTCAACTTTATTTAATTCTCGGAGCCGACTGGCCTCTCCATGCTGCTGTGCCGGGTGTCAGCCGTGAGTCAGGTACTAGCGAGATGGGGACGGAGGTCACATCGAGGAGGTGGCCTCCTCCTCAGCCGTGCTGTCTCGGTCAGCTCCGGTCGCTGTCGGGGTGTTAGCTCCGGAGAAGACAACGCTCAGACCACGAAGGAAGGCTCCACTCAGGGTCTGTACCGAGACACGGTTCTCCTTCCCCGGACAAACTTCCCCATGAAACTGACCGGACAGAAGCTTTTGGACAAAGAACTTCAGATTCATCAGGTTCGTCCCACCAGTCCAGCCGACACAAATTTGTTGTGAAGTGGTTTAATTAATTTAGAATGTAGTCATTTTTAYACACATTTTAGACAACTTTTATTTACTCTACAAATTAGTTTATTTACATTAAAAATACCAAAACCAGGTAAACATGCAGCCATATTAAATCTGTTTAAATGCTCAAATGTGTTTGTTTTCAGTGTGGATAAACTTGTTTCCTTCATGGCTTTGCAGGAATGTGGTTTTGCAGAGTTGTACTCCTGGCAGAGAGAAAGGAAGGCCAAGAAAGAGTTCTGCCTGCATGACGGACCCCCATATGCCAATGGAGACCCTCATGTTGGACACGCACTGAATAAGGTTTTACTGCTTAAAATTTAACCTCTTCAATATGATTGTTCTTTTGCTTTTTGCAAGCTTTGAAAGCTCAAAGTCACACGGTAACATTACTTTTTTAGATTCTGAAAGACATCCGTAACCGTTTTGAGGTGCTGAGAGGACGGCGGGTCCACTACATCCCAGGCTGGGACTGCCATGGCCTGCCCATTGAGCTGAAAGCTTTGGGACAACTGGGCACCGGTGGTCTCAGTCCGCTGCAGATCAGACAGAGAGGTGAGGATGGATTGACGGCGGTCCGATCAGCACCAGGATTTGCCATTGCTGTAACAGTTTGTGTATATTTCATTTTAGCACGGGAGTTTGCTGAAAGGGCGATAGCTCGTCAGAAGGCCGCCTTTCAGCGCTGGGGGGTGATGGCTGACTGGGAGCAGTGCTACTACACATTTGATGGGGCCTATGAGGCAGCTCAGTTAAAAGTCTTCCAGGAGATGCACAGCAAGGTGGGCCTTGAAGTGATCACTTCTCATCCATACAACACTGAAGGGTGTAAACTGAGAGCTTATTGTTCTACCTTCTGGGGTCTGCACTGGCACAGATTTCTTCTGAAACCTGTCATTGATGTTGTGTGATCTCTGTTGAGTACATAGCCTTAATGAGCACCATTTAGCCTTGATTTCACACTTGTTTTGCTTTATTGATATCAGAAGCAGAATATAAATGTTTTACTTGGATGAATTAAGAAAATACAAAAGGCAACAACTGATGTAGGAAGATGTAAATTTGTAGCTTACAACGCAAACTAGTTTATTCACAGTGAGCTGTGTTTGCGTTTTTTTATTTTTTAAATTCAGTCTGATATTGTTTTCCTGCAGGGTCTTATTTACCAGGACTACAAGCCCGTCTTCTGGTCTCCTTCATCGAGGTACAGCATCGGCATGTGCCCTCATATTTTCCGCGTGTTTTCTTGTAAACCTGCATCGTGCTGCCTCTGGGTGTTCACAGGACGGCCCTGGCTGAAGCAGAGCTGGAGTATAACCCAGAGCATGAGAGCAGAGCCGTTTATGCCACGTTCCCTTTGGTCACGCTGCCGCCCGAGGTCGCATCAGAAGGAGGTAATTCAGCCGCACAYACATTAACCGTTTAAAACCACTCGGATGGTTGTCCTGACTGTGTGATGATGAAATCATTTGCAGGTCTGGAGAACGTCTCTGTGTTGATTTGGACCACCCAGCCATGGACCATYCCTGCCAATCAGGCTGTTTGCTACATGCCTAATGCCCAGTATGTACACATCACAGAATAGTAAAACAGAATGACAGTTTTAAAGCCCTCTGATGCTAAATATTGCTTTAAAAAGTAAATATATTATTTATAATGTGAGCTTCTCATCTTTTGCTCAGAACTACATCTACGTTTTACAATCTTATATCCAGCCAAAATGTATTTTTGATCTTATATTAAGACTGATATAATGAGCAAGAGCAGAATGTGTCAGGTTATTAATCTTGTTAGCCTGGAAATTATCCTGATTTCAAGATGTTTTACCGAGTATAATTGCTCTGCTTTCCTGGCAGATTATTCCACTTAATTTAAATATTCTTTTTTGGCTTGATATAAGATTGTAAGACTTGTTTAGATGGACATATTTTTGCAGTATATAACTTACAGCTAATTAAACATGCTAAAAAGTATATTGCACAGTTGTGTTTCTTTGCGTTCCTGTTCTTTTGAGAGATTTATGATAAATGGTAAACGACTTGAACTTACAGTATAATGCTTTATCAAGTCCTTATGGACTCCAAAGCGCTTCACACTACAGTCATTCCCTCATTCACACACTGATGGTGGTAAGCTACATTGTAGCCACAGCTGCCCTGGGGCAGACTGACAGAGGTGAGGCTCTGCCACAGCTGCTACATTTATGTGAAAACCTGCATTATTACAAAACCTAACATTCTGGCAAACGTATTGCAAATCCATGTTATTGTAGTGTTGATGTTTGATGCTAGAAGCCTGTTTTATTTTTCTACATGGATTCATGTTATTTTTTTTGTTTGTTTGCAGGTACTCTGTGGTGAAGAGAGCGGATAATTCTCAATTGCTGCTGGTAGCGTCTGAGCGTACGGCCAGCCTGGCATCACTGCTGCACACAGAGCTGCACAGCATCAGCACTTTCACAGGTAATAACCCCTACTCTTTCACTACCAACTGACAAACATTTACAAGCAACACAGAAGCATTTTGTGCCTACAGTCCTGCTCGTTCATTACTTCTCATTTAGACTGCAAATCAAACTTTATTTACAATTTTAATCATGCAAATTTTCACTTTTTGCCTCTTTTGTTTTTTTAAGGTTCCCAACTTGAAGGCGGGATATGCAAACATCCCACAATTCCTGACAAGCAAGTGCCGTTACKGCCAGCCAATCATGTGACCATGGCGAAAGGAACAGGACTGGTCCACACGGCTCCAGCTCACGGCATGGAGGATTACAACGTGGCTTCACACTTTAAACTGCCTGTGGTATGTGTCTCATTTTTTTTAAACAAGCAGACATGAAATAGATGGGGTTTTGTCTGACTATGATGTTTCTGTATGTTTTCTTCTAATAAAGGAGTGCATGGTGGATGAAGATGGCAGGTTCACTGAGCTGGCAGGACCTGAGCTGCAGGGCCTCTCTGTGATGACCGAAGGAACTGATAAAGGTACTGTAATGGAAAAAATACATTTAGTTTTAAGCATGTAATTCATGACATACTTTAAAGTGCCTGTGACATGCTTATCCTTCAGATACAAAGGAAACTTGGCATACCACACATCATTGTACCCATTTGGACACATAACTGACCTATTTTTTTTTTTTTCACTTGGCTTGGAAAAAGGGAAACAGGACGTGACATCAAAGGGGAACTCCTTTAGGAAAGCTAACTCACTGGTCTTTGTTTTTTGAAACATTATGATTTGAACTCTGACTTTTATTTGTTTGTAGTGACTCAAAATAATCTAAAACATCAGATTCCTCTCCACAGTCTGGACAGTTGAGCATTTTAGCTTAGCTCTGTTTTCATGCAGACACTCCCCTTTGACATCACTTCCTGTTATTTCACATGCAAATATCTCAATAACTGTTAATCTCAGCAGCATGAAAATTATTTTGTAAAACGTTCTCAGCGTTATCTTTCCAAAAACACATTTGTATTATTAAAAATATTTTGATGTCACAGGCATTTTTTCTTAATGTCTAAAAATGACTCTTATGAGCAGAATGATGCGTTCTACAATATTCAAATGTATTCAAATTTCTCATACTCAGTGTCACTACATCTGGTAATAATAAATAAATAATGACATCAATAAAACAACTAATACTTGAGTCATCAAATGTCTGATCTGAGACTTGTAAACAAATAAAGAAAATGTAATGGTGTAATGATACATGAGCTCTTACAGATGAGGAGATGCAGTATTCTGTTATATCCATGTTTGTTTATGTGCAACCTGCTTTGCTGGCTGTTTYAGTGATTTCCATGCTGAAGGAGAGCAGTTCTCTGCTGCTGGAGGAGCAGTGCGTCCACAGTTATCCATACGACTGGCGAACGAAGCAGCCCATGATCATCAGACCCAGCAAGCAGTGGTTCATCAACACAGAATCCCTCAAAGACAAAGCCAAGGTAAACCTGATGTAAAGTGTGTACGAGGAGAACAGAAGGAACTTTGTTGCACCAAGAAATGATGTGGTTTATGTTTGAAAGATGCTTCTCATACGCCGTGTGTTTGTGCCTCTGAAGGAGGCGCTGCAGAAGGTCCGTATTCTGCCCGAGTCAGCACGAGGCGGCCTGTTGGTCATGCTGGACAGCCGGACGTTCTGGTGCATCTCCAGACAGAGAAGCTGGGGGGTCCCCATCCCAGTTTTTTACCATAAAGAGACTGGAGAACCTCTCCTCAACAAGTGAGCTCACACCACCCTCAACTGAATATATACTGGTTCTGTCTTCAACTTCAGAATAAAGGTCCAGTTGTTTGGATTCTTCGAAGTTTTGAGGACCTGAACTTATACACTGCAAATCAATRCACACAAGAGTGTAATGATATTTCTGTTCTAACCGTCTTTTTGAAAAACCTGTTATAGTAACTGTATGTCTGTTCTCTGAAGTTACACAGTGACTCACATAGCAAAACTCTTCAAAGAAAAAGGCAGCAACTGTTGGTGGGAGCTTCCCATCGAGGCTTTGCTGCCCCCAGAAGTTCTAAAGAAGGTGAGAAATCTATGAGAAAGACACAAATATACAATGTTGTATATGCTGTTAAGTGCCAGGAGGACTGCGACCAGTTATACATCGGGGAAACAAAGCAGCCACTGTTCAAAAGAATGTCCCAACACAGACGTGGACAAAGTACTCAACTCTAGTACTTGAGTAAAAG